ACATATGCATTAGAAAAGCTCACTTGAATGGGATCCACAACAGATCTAATCCCCTCTGTGCTGCTTACAGTCCCACCACTATTCAAAAGTTCACGAGATGACAGGAGCTCTTGCACAGCCTTCAAAAGGAAGCAAATGAATGTAGATCAAGTATGGATGATATACTAACTGTGGAAAATGTACTAAACAAATGATAAAGGTTGTCAAATCCCAAGCAACAACGTCAACCATCTATGAGAACAACAACAATCGGACCACTAGACTATCTTTCAAATTTTTTGAAAAGATAATCACACAATTAGAAAGCATCATCTCGAATATTATTATTCATTTTGCATTCTAAACAACAACCTCATCAGGTCTTTTGGCAGCTAACAATGAATTCGTAAGACCTCGAAGGATTTCAAAGTCAACACTCTCTGGCGCCTGCTCAAAACAAAAAGAGAGTATTCAGTTCGGAGCTTATGATCTCTTTTTCTTTAAAAAAAAAAATGAATAATGCAAGCTTCAGATGAGAATCACAAAGAACAATCTCAATCATAGATAATAGGCAGCTAGAGAAGGGGGCAGCAGTTATTTCAACATACATAGAATCTAAGTTTGAGCTGAGGTGTACAGTTTCCATGTGAAATGATCATAGTATTTAAGAACCATTTTCAGCAGCAAAGACAATGATATGAGTCCATAGCATGCCAACCTTCTTAGCACTTCTATATGCAAGAATACTTCCTTCATAATCTTTGAGCTCATATTTGACTTCACCAAGCAAACGAAATGCGTCTGAATCAGTTATTTTCTTCTGCAGAACATAGTAGGCCAAGTTTCAGTTATAATTCCCGATTCGCAATGTCCGTAAGAATTGGAAAAAAAAAGAGAGAAATTAATAACATACCTCAGTCAACTTTTCAAGCAATGGTGCAGCTTTTTTATATTCCCCCATTTCTGCTAAAGTCACTGCAGCTCCCTACAGAAACCACTTTGAATAATATGAAAGGGTTGGATTAGTTGATCAATGACACAACAGCGTTAATGGAATTCTTTCTTGTGCAGTTTTAAGCTGACAATATTTATTTACCCTCTTAATCGAAAGCATATTGTGATCAATACTTAAACAAGTCTAAACTGAGAGTTTAAAAGCATAGAATTGATGTACAGTGGTCAGTGGTCATACTCGTCTATTGGAACAGCATCATTCAGGTCATTCACACTTTCCTTTGTTACTCTAGAGCTGAACTTTACATAAGCTCTCATTTCTAATTATGACAAAAAAAATAAAAATTAAATACTACATTAGTGATTAGACCACGTTTGAACCATGCAATGCACATCTCTTTAAGTATCTGTCTCCAGTTGAGAAAGAACATATTCAAATCGTACACTTGATCAACAGTTGAACATTTAAAACGCTAATTTAAGAATTGTTTCAGATTATGCAATGATACCTGATTTAATGAAGTGATTGCATTGATTTTAACAAACATAGTGGAATTCCCAGACAGCTACAGAGCATTAGAAAAATCAAAAAATTTGCTTTAAAATACAACTCACTTCAAGAGCAGTTGGATCTTCAGGAGAGATCCCAAGTGTTTCTTCAAACTGAACCAACCTCTTCTGAAAAAGCATATAATAACATTATGGTAGGTGGTTCACGTCAAGACATAATCATGTTAGAACCCTACAGATACTCAAGAAAGATGCAATCCGAGGTGTAAAACAATGAAAGCTATGGAAGGATCCTAGATTAAGACATGCACAAATAATAAATGGTGAAAGAAGCAACATAGTGATACTATGTGAAAAAAGTAAAATCTTGCACCGAAACAGAATGAGAAAACATATATATATATAAGTTTGGTTGACTACAAAACTAAATTCGCCAAAAAATCTGAAACATTGTATGACACTGCTGCGAAGGCATATAAATATGCAAGTATCAAGGGCTATCGGTGCACCAGAACAAAAAAAAAAAAAAAAAAGCAGTTGGGTATTCACAGTGTAACCAAACATCTAGATGAGTTGTGATACACACACACACACATACATAAAATAAAAAATAAAAAATAAAATACTCAAGTTCGGGGGGCCTGTTCTCACCTCAAGCACTGCTCTTTCCTTTTCAGAAATTTTAATGGTGGGACTTTCCTCTGTGGGGTTGACACTGGTTCCAAAAAGCATATAAGTTTATAAGAAGATTCAAAAGGTAGATTTTTTACATTAATACATCAAAACCATATGTTAATACATCAAAACCATATGCATGATGTTTATGAGGCAGAGTGGTTTGACACAGGAGTCGGATCATGCAAAACTGTCAACTCAAGTAAAGACCCACATGGGTTTGATAGCTTAAACCAGACATCTAAAGTACATGTTTGAATTTAAATGACACAACTAGACGAATTGAACATATGGCTAAAAGTCGAAGAACCTAACTAGCCCGACCTGTTATGTTATGGACAATCACTACCACGATGAGATCCCAACCACAAAATAAGATGAAAAAAGTACATGTTTGAATTTAAATATTTTTGTTTTGCATTTCCCAATCACGTCATACTGCAAAGCACATATAAGATCATACGGCAGGACAATAGTTAATGTCCGCCGAACACGAAATGAACTGAGGAACTTAAATAATGTACCACTCAAAGGCTTACGAATCCGATAAATGCAACACAAATAAGCAGATCATTTACCAAGTACTTGAAGCATATACCTTCCATAAGGGAGAAAGTCTCCAAGAGCAAATACTAAGCCAAATGCAAGAACCGCTACACCAACTCCAACCTAACCACATATCCATCCATAAACTAAGCAACCACAAACAAACAATTCATAAATAGCCTCAGAAATAAGCAAAAGTACCTTCGTCCCAAGACCAATCGTGCCGCTATTCGTCTCACTTGGAGCATCATAATCAATCGCCCCATATTGTTTCTTCTCTTCTGCTTTCTTCTGCTCAAGCGCCGACCTTCACATTACAAAGAAGTTTATTATATGCTCAAAACAAAACTACAAATCAACACTACTGAAAAAATAAGATGGCGCCTTACTTTCTAATCGCTTGGAGACGCTGCTCAAACTCCAGGTCCTCCGAAGAAGTATACCTCGTTCTGCCACCAATTGAAGAACTCAAACCAGGTGCCTCTGAGTAGATATAAGCGAGAAAAAAAGGCCATTAATTTGACATTATGAGAAGATAAGCAAACTCAACAATGGAAGAGCAAGCAAATGATTTTAATGGAGTTTACGGTTAGGTATGGCGGGCGATTGCTTCTGCTTTCTGCAAAAAGTTAACAACTTTAGAAAAAAATTGGGATTATATTAATGATCCTGAGGAAATTGTATGTGAGGGTTTTGTTACTTGTCCTCAGCCTTCGCCGACTTGGGGCCAAAACCGCGGTTGCTGGGAGACGCGTCGGAGCATTTGATCGGAGCCCGGAAACCCGACTTGGGATAGCTATTTATAAAAGAATTCCGGCAATGGGGCCACCCGGAGACGAGATGATAATGGTGGAGCAGCTGAGCTTGAGCAGCAGCCATTGTTGATGTTTTCTGATATTGCGAACAGAAAATAGCGTTTTTCACCCTTTGAAGCGACTACAAAAGTCGCCAAATCCAATTGTATAGGTTAACATTTTCTTCACTAAAACTCATAGATATATTGATATGAATAAAAAAAAAAATATATATTTATTGATTGTAAAATGGCTAGACTATGTGAATAAAATAATTTAAAAAGTTATAACTTATATGATAAATAGTTAACTATACATTTTTTTATAAAATAATAAAATTGTCTGTTTACTGTAAAACAAACACAAAATAAAGTCATAACTACGAAATAAAAAAATAGTAACAATTGTAATTCATTTAATTAGACAATAAATGCAAATGAACTCATCAACATGAGTACACGACATTAGCCCCAGGTCGATAACCACAAACAAATAGATATCATTATCGGAGCATAAGCAAAGTTCAACATATACAATACTAGAGCTCGTTTAACTATATATATTTAAAGTTCTCAAACTCGAAATTTCCAATCATTTGGTTAGATTTGATTATTAGTTGATGTGAAAACAACATTTTAATAAAATGTCGATCTCGACTAGAAAATGGTCTGGATGCCAGTAGCAGAGAGGATTGGATTGTAGGTCGAAGAAGTTAAGGAAGAAAGCTAGAGTGTGTACAATAAGATACTGGAGGATACGTGTTACTTTTAAAAATGGTTTTCTTTATAAAATTTTGATAATGATGAAAATTTAAGTTAAAGAACATAAATTTGTTTGACACTTCAAATGTATATAAAATTACTATATAATATTTAAAATTAATGTGATACTAGTACAACACCCGTGTATTACACGGGTGCTTGTTAAAAAAATATTCTTAAGTTTTAAAATTAGTGAGAAAATTATATATAATTTAGTTTACTTTTTTACAAGAAAAAATATATTACTATATATTTTAGAATGATATGTGTTACTTATGACTTACATGTGTTATATTATATTAGTTTTTATAACTTATATCATATAACTACTTGAATTATAAATATAATAGTTGATAAAGATAAATATAAATTAATATTAAAAATAATTTTATTATTGTTATAAAGATTAATATAAATTATTTTTTTTTATACATACAATATGGATGTTAAATCGAAGCTCGTCAAAAGAAGATTAATTTGATATATTACATATGTAAAACTAATAAAAAATACAAAAGTTATTAACTTTTAAAATATATATACAATTCAATAGTTATAATAAGGAATGATATTAAAATGTAATTAATACATGTAACATGACCATAAATAATCAACATATTTATGGTAATCCGAACCTAATTATTTTTAGTTTTGGAATTAAATTAAAATTTACTCAAGTCTAACAACGAAGCATGTAATTTTGCCACATATGAATCCGAAGCACCAGAAGCAGCCACGTAGGATCAGCGCGTTCTGGATTAATATATAGGGGGAATGGGGATAAGAATAATAATTGTGGTAAATAGAATTTTAACTGATTTCTTTTTTAGTAAACGTAAATTTTATTTTTAGATTGCCTGAATGAGAATAAAGACAGAAAATGAATGGATAGTCGTAATAAAAATAACAACTTAATGGAAAAATGTATGTGGTCACCAAATCACAACCCCAATATTGCAAACACAATTTTATAGAAAACCATAAATTAAATAAAACCCCCTTTATTTGGATAAAATTAATAAATGCACCAAATAACAACACTCACCACCATTCATCAACAACAAGTAAACTGTTCAAGCCAGCTTATCACCATTTATGTGTGGCCTTAAGAGGGCTAATTCTAAAAGAAGTGACTTAGTTTGATAATGAGGGCATCTTCGTTGAGCTTGTTGCTTCTTGTTTTTCTCGCCATTTTTATATCTAAAAGGTAAATATATTATTCCTCTATTTTTTTTTTCTTTTTAAATGTTTTGTATATGTAATTTTGCTAGTTGAAAAATAAGGTATGTTTTCGGCAAAATTGCATTTTTAGTCATGCTGGTTTAACGCTGTATCATTTTTAGTTTCAAGATTTTAATTTTTTGTTTTTGATCCTGTAATTTAGTATTTGGCTGCAATTTCAGTCTTTCGAAATTGCAACAAAATTTAGAAAATTACAGGACTTAAATTGCTAATAGAAAATCCATACGAAGGATTTTTTATTAGCAATTTAAATCATGTAATTTTAAATTTTGTTCTTTTTAAGTTTCAAAGAACTAAAATTGCATTGAATAGCTACTAAATTAAAGACCAAATAGCAGAAATCATAGGACCAAATAGCAGAAATGTACAATTGTTAAAGACCAAAAACACTACTAATTAAACTAACAGGACTAAAATTGCAATTTTCCCCTTTGTCCATCATCAACTTATTGCTACATAGTTCTTATTTTGCATAATTGACAGCTAAAAGAAAAATTGCCAAAACTAAATATAATTTTTAGTTAGGCATTGTATTTTAGATATAATTTTAATTGATTTTATTTAATATACTCTCTGTTAAATATACATATAGATATGTTTTATGTGAATCTTATGAACTTATGAACATAACGTACGTAGAGCATTTGTGTACTATAAATCATCTCTCAAAAAAAATCTGCCAAATAGTGTATAATCTTGAAATGAGATCATGTGTTCATTTAGCTTGGTTTTTTCTTGCATTTTTCTTGAGTCATATATCTCAAAGGTATCAATCAATCTCATCTCATCATCATCTCTATTAATTTATTTTTCCAGAAAATGATAGTAAATATTTATGGGTGTAAAAATTTGTGTTAGCTTGGGAGCATTAGAAACAGAGTTTGCTGCAGCTAACACACCACCAAGAGGATGGAACTCATATGATTCCTTCAGTTGGATCATCTCCGAAAAACAGTTCATTCGAAACGCTAACCTCGTTGCTCGTCGCCTAAAGCAACATGGATACGAGGTACTAATTTTGTCATAATCTAAATATATAAATTCATATTCATTCCTTTTTTTCGAATGAATTGGATTTTTTAAATTTTTGTTTGAACAGTATGTTGTGGTCGATTTCTTGTGGTATCGGAGGAAAGTGAAGGGAGCAAACACCAACTCGTTTGGATTTGATGTTATCGACGAGTGGGGAAGAATGGTGCCCGACCCTCAAAGGTGGCCTTCGTCTAACGGTGGAAAAGGGTTCGGTAATGTAGCTCAAAAAGTTCATAGTATGGGCTTGAAATTCGGTATTCATGTCATGAGAGGTATCAGTACACAAGCATTCTACGCAAACACACCCATCCTCGATATAACCACGGTATTTTGCTTCGAAAATTTTGGTTTGGGCTATCTTTTTGTTAAAAGATTTGTTGCTGTCGTTATTAGTCTGTTTTGTCAGGTGATCTGGTTTTTATGGTGAATCTAAACCTCAAAAGTTGCGAAAAGAGGCTTAGTTTGGATTGTATCGAGCTTGAAAATACGTGTTTTCTAAATATGGGCATTATAGGTTCTCTTAATTTTATTTGCCTACTCTTTGAATAGGGCAAAGCTTATGAAGAAAACGGGCGAAAATGGTATGCTAAAGACATAGGACTAAAGGAGAGGAGCTGTGCGTGGATGAAAAACGGTTTCATGAGCGTAAACACGAAATTGGGCGCTGGACGAGCGTTCTTGAGATCACTCTATCATCAATATGCCGAATGGGGAGTTGATTTCGGTACTTTATTTTTTATTTTTTTCACATTTTTCATTCATAAAGATGAAAATTCTTTAGGCTTTAGATGATATTTAACTACTTTTTTCAAATATTTCAACTTGTTTATGTTGTTGTGCTTCTCTCTCACGACAGTTAAGCACGACTGTGTATTTGGTAAGGATATGGATCTTGACGAAATAACCTATGTTTCAAAGGTATGCATATAAAGCATTCGAGCTGAAATAAATTTCAGTTGAATGTATATATATCTTGGATTACGGTGAGAAATTTCGTGCAGGTCTTAGAGGGTTTTAACCGAACAATCTTATATTCGATATCTCCTGGAGAAAAAGCAAACCCAGCCATGGCAAGGCAAGTAAGTGAGCTCGTCAACATGTACAGAATCACCGGAGATGACTGGGACTCGTGGCCAGCTCTGATCAGTCATTTTAACATCACTCGGTATTTTATTGTGTTATATTAAATTTTCCTCTTTTATTTTCTGCATTTTATGCATGTCTTTTCAAATTACCTTTTTTCTGTCAGGGATTTTGCTGCGGCTAATATGATCGGAGGAAAAGGACTGCGTGGAAAGTCTTGGCCTGACTCAGATATGCTTCCGTTAGGATGGCTTGGTAAAGAAGGTAATAGAGGAATAAAATGTCAGTTTGAGTAACAAAAAACCGGTTTTCGTATATATGTATCGGTTGATCGAACTTAATCTCGAATAGTTGGATTCTGAACTTGATTTGATGATGATTTTGCCGTTGATAGGTGCAAATACTGGCCCTTACAGAAAATCAAATCTTACTTTAGGTGAACAGAGGATTCAGGTACTTATTTATCACAGATGCATCTCTTTTAAAATACAAAATGCAGTTCTATAGTTCCGAAAAATAACTAAATGTCTCGATTTGTTGACAGGTTACGCTATGGGCCATTTCCAAGTCGCCTCTCATGTTCGGAGGAGATATGAGAAGACTCGACAACTCGACATACAGTTTAATCGCCAATCCTACTCTTTTGGAAATAAACTCCCACAGCTCAAATAATATGCAGGCACATATATATATATGCTTTTTTTCGAATGACATTTTTGACACGTAAATCGATCGACTTTTTTTTACCTTAACTAATTATCACGATCCTTGTTGCGAATTTTGCAGTTCCGATACATTTCGAGTCCACAACTTAATAACCAAACCGAACCGAAACTAACGGTGCCCCTTACAGTCGATCTTACCGATTGCGAAAGTGTTGCTGCCTTAAATGGATGGTTTGTGGTGCCGACTAACAGTGGTTTTGAACAAGTCTGCTGGAACAAAACTTCAAGTCACGGGAAAAATGAGCAGTTTTGTCTGTACAAAACAAAACCGCGCCTTTTGATGTAATAATGTGATTAATTTTCTTTTGAATCATTTCGTGTAAGTAATATGTTGATCACCGAAAGTACCTCTGATTTTTTTTTTCTTTTTTAACGGCGACAATGCAGAGAAGACGAAGTGATCTATAAACTAAACTATAACGGGAAAGTCCATTTATTGAAGACACATACGAAGGAAGTTTGTCTCGACGGTTCTCCAAATCAGAAAGTTACTTCCACAGAAGCAAAAATGGGTTCATTTTCACCTTGTGGATTGGATGCTAACCAGGTGACCCCAAATTTAAGTTCTACTCCTACAAAATTATCTTTTTACCAAATGGTACTCATATTCACGATCCAAACTAGATGTGGGAGGTCACGCATAACGGCACCTTGAAGAATAGCTACTCTGGTTTATGTGCAACTATGAGGGCAGCACAAGGTGAATATTCGAAAAAAAAAAAAATCGTAGCTATTTTCATGTCTCGGTTTTTTTCATTAGTTTGTTTTCGTATCTTAGTTTTGTTAACTAATATTTTTCCACAGCTTACGAAGGTCCCAATTTGATTCGTGCTTGGGTTGCCACCGGAAGAAAAGGTTTGATTTGGCCTTTCTTGAACTCGATGTAATTTGACGTACAATTTTATACTTAAAACAATTCGATTGTGTTTATTGTTGCAGGAGAAATCTATGTAGCGATTTTCAATTCGAACCACAACGAATCCGAGGTGTCGATGAGGATAAAGGACTTGGGTATGGTGCTTTCTGATAGAGATTTTGAGGGTGCTTCATGCAAATGCAGAGAAGAATGGAGTGGAAAAGATTTTGGAGTAGTAAAAGACACACTTTCTATAAAGTTGGATATCCATGATGTTGCTCTTTTTGTGCTTGACTGCACATTTAACTGAGTTTCATGGTTGTCTTATGATAAAATATGATCACGGTATATATTTCACTGTATCTCAATTTTGAAACTTGTGGGAAGACAAGTTATTAAAGAAGAACATGGAGAAAAAAAAAGTAATGAAAAAATAATAATAATATTTTTTTTTTTTTTTTCAAAATTAATATTTCCGGACCAAAAGTAAATTCAAGTCTATATTTATCAAATAATTAAATTGAAGAATTAAAAATATATTGAAAGTGCACTACCTACATATCTGAGTACAAAGCCTTAAACAAAACGAGCCATTTTTGAACTCCGATAACTCAAGCTCGACTCATCTTGCCAAATTCGAATTCATTTAAGGCTCATTTAGTTAACGAATCGAGCTTGATTCAACTCGTTAATTTGATAAATATGGATTTTACGTAATTCTCTAAAGGGTATTACTATTTACCGCCCCTTTTTACTAATCACCGCACCCCCCCCCAATTACGTTTTTGCCCTTATGACTATCTCTCTACTTTCTCTCTCTACTCTTTCCTTCTCGACTTTTCACGGCTCTT